GGCTATTGTGAATAGCCCGTCCGGCCCCCCTTGGGTTCTACGGAACCGAAGGGGTCCTGGGGCCGAAGCTAGCCGAAGGATCGGCCGAAGCTATGGCCAGATCCTTCGGCAGCTTCGTGAATAGACCCCTAAATCTCTATAGTTCCCAAGAAAGCCGATTTTCACACATACGTTTACATTTCTGAGAATAACAATATTATTCATATTTGTTTTCAGTTTGTCTTTCAGACCCAGTGCTTATCAAAAACAGATATGTCACTGAATGGACTGTTAATGCCCGCTGGTTTTCATCTGTCATCACTCATTCATGTTGCTATCCTTCAATAAATTTGACATCAAAACATAGCTTACAGAGTTGTGCCAGTGATGCCACATGATAAAGACTACAAACCTTGGATTCAAGAGACTTCTAAGAAACTGGAACAGTAATGACGTGTCCTGCAATTACAACAAAAAAAAAAAAAGTGTTTCATTATAGCCGACTGGATGGAGCGAAGTAGTTATATGCAAGAAAAAAAAAGGTAACACATAATGTTATAGAGTAAAAAATATGTTTATAAAAAAAACTCTGCACAGCACTTGGATGACCTACTAGAGTGACTAAGGGGTATATTTATCAAACATTCACAGAGCCTTTTGTCCTATGAAACTCTGTGGACATTCATTCTGTGTGAATGGAGGCAAAAACAAAGATTATTTGTATATTTACTTTCCCTTTTGAATGTAATATCAGGAAAATACCACATCATGGCCCCGAGATGGAGCTGGGGAGCATAGGAAATAAATACTTATTTCTTATGATCCTCATGACCATCTACTGGGCATAATGCAGTATTTTTCTGATATTACATTCAACTTGGAAAGAAAATTACTAATAAGGTAAGTTTTTGCCTCCATTCGCACAGAACAAATGTACATGCAGTCTGCAATTTTATTTTATAAATACACCCAGTCTCAGTCATTGTGCTATAAATACATGTAACCATACAATAAAATATTGAACAAGAAAAGAACCAAAAGTGATCACATTATTAAAAGCTTAGGAAACTTTTGGCTGCAGATATTGAACATAAGTATTAGGCATGTCAGCCAGGCAGACAAGCCACTTAGAGGACATAATTCTTGAAATCTGGTGAGTAAAATAAGTGAGTTGTTGGTCCTGGATCAGCTCCCCACTTGCTGGACAAAAGGTGAAGATGCAGAGAGGGCAGGAGCTGGAAAGATGACAGGTAGGAAGGAAGTTAGGAAGCCACAATGCTGAACCAAGGAGACAAACTGCTGTCACCTTGCCCAGCAAAATTAAACAGTGCTATTCAGAAAAGGGTGAGGAGTTTTGGAGAAGGCAATCTAAGCCAAAATAGCTGATTTAAAAAAAATTCTCCAATTCAGCTCACTTTCCAGTTCAGCTATGTTATCCTACCTAGATGGTTCACTTCTTCTGCCTTCTCCAAACTCTTCACCTTTTTGTGAATAGCCCCCATAGTGTCTCTGCAAACAGACTAGCCCCAACCTACTTATACTCACCTTGCCTGTGCTCCCTCCATCGCAGGTGGCACTGAAATCACCAGGGTCTGTGACCAGGGGGAATGGTGACGTCACACTGTAGGAAATATGACAGTGCTCAGGCCAAGCATATGTCTGCTAGGGCCGAGCGCTGTCACAGAGGAGGAGGTCACATGACGGAGGAAGGAGTGGCAAGGGATCCCTGGCAAGTATAAGTGGGTTAGGAAGGGAGCTTCACTCTGCATAATTAGGTAACCAAAGTTACCCATCTCATAGTGCAATGTGCACATAACAAAACTGGCCTATACTGAATTACAAACACTTTGTTTCGTAAAACAGTAAATATATATATATACATATTCTGATGTCAAGAATTTTTAGGTTTTGTCATGAACAAACAATTAACAGACCACAAAAAGACGTACATTTGTAAATGAGACAATAAACGGCATATAATAAATTGACTGAAATTACGACCATGTGTGTTCTTTCCTTTGTGGTGGGCGCATGGAGTTTTACTGTCTGGAAGAGACAGATATAGGTATATGTTTGGGAATTGGATGTATTGCTGTGCTGCTGAAGAAAAAAAATGCCTTCTAATGAGGTCTAGGTTGTTTCATAAACCAAATGATCAGCGTTAAAACTGTAATAAAGTAAGCCTACTTAATATGGGTGCCTGTTTTACATATAAAGGAGCTAGCATCACATCCAAACAAGATGATTTGCTTCTTTATGAAAGGCAAACACTGGAATTGCTAAGAATGAACCCATCTCTGGGCTGGAACAGATGACCATCAGATGGCAAGTTATAGAGACAAGTCATTTGAAGGATTCTGCACTGAAGGTCACGGAGGAGGAAACCTGGCTTTGATAAGAATGTGCTAATGAACTCATTAAGTGTCTGCCACCAGAGATGATTCGATTGATATGGTTAGAGGTGTGTGACTCGAGACAGGAAGCACAGGATGGTAAATACATGTCCTCGCTTTCATCTCTCATCAAACACGAGGCAGGAAAATGCTGGTATCGGTGCTTTTTAACAGCTCATCCTATTCCCTATTCTCATGGTACAGAAAACTGCATATTCAAGCAATAGAAAAGGTGCCAGGAAAGTATTCTCAGAATGTACTGGGTTTTGATGAATATTACGCTGGAACAAACATAACAGTCAAATGAATCCAGTCTAATATATTGTCACTCGTTTTCATTTCATGTGGAACATCCTAGACAGATGGTTATGCCTGTCTGTGACATTTTTTGTACCTCCAAGGTTTGATTTTGTTATTTTTGTTCATATAAAATTTACAGCTTGACCTCAAAAACTGAGAATTCTAGTCTTTGAGGCTACAATAATTTCTCTATGGGTCTAAGCTCTATTGCTGAATACGCTTATAAATTCTGTTGTCTAAACACTTGGGGTACCCAACACTAATGCTTGTAAAATTATACTATCATATAGGAAAGAATTCATATATACTTGGTGATTTGCCCTGCTCTGCCCTCTTTACTGCACCATTTGGAGGATTATTTAAAGAAGAACTCTGGGTAAAACGTTTTTTAACCCTTGCAGTGTTGCTACCCCGCACTGTAAGGATTAACGGTTAGTTTTGGCCTAGGGAGGACAATAGCAAAGTTATACTCACCCGATCCTCAGAGCTGGCCAGCTGTCTCAACAGTGCACCCTCAAGGATGTCTCCTACGCTGCAGCTACGGTATGTCCCTCTGCGTCCTCATGTCCTATACACTGTGTATAGAATGTAATGAATCAGGGAACTTGAACCACTGGAGCGGAGGAGGAGCGAGGCTGGAAGGACCGGTCAAAGAGAAAGATGGCTATGAGGATTGAGTGAGTTTAACTTTTTTATTTCCCCTCTAGATCAAAAAGAGCAGTGTGGGGGTAGCACCACTGCAAGGGCTAATATAAATGTTGCCTGTAATTCTTCTTTAAATTTCCAAATCCCACTTTAGCTACCTGGATTACCTCTTTGCCAATCATACAGAGGGGATGATCCCGAATCATTGTCAAGAGTGAGCTGTAGATGGAGTGGTGACGTAGGAAGCTGCAGTGCTAGCTAGGATATAGGGGTGACACCTTTTTTAAGCACATCAGTGAACATCCATGCATTTCACATTTTTTTTTTCTCCAAACCTCTGACTTTTACACCTACAAGAGTTTGTATGACATCCCATTTCATTAATATGGAGTCCCCCTTCCCCTTCTTTGTGACCCGAACAGCCTCCACTCATTTGGGAAGGCTTTCCAAAAGATTTTCATGTGTGCTTGTGGGAATCCGTGCCCATTTTGCCAAAAGAACATTTGTGAGGGCAGGTAGTGATGTTGGATGAGAAGACCTGGCATCCTAATTCATTCCAATGGTATTCAATAGGGTTGAGGTCAGGCACCACATGCAGGTCATTTAAGCTGTGTTAAATCTGAAAATGTACTTTAAGTTCATACAATGACGAGCTCACTCAATATGTAATCACAATAACTTATTTCTAGTTGTAGAAAATGGTATACTCTACCACAAAATGATGTATTTAAAAATACTTTATATTTCAATTAGATTGTATACCTTAAAAGGGGATGCGTCTACTAATAACAAAAAGCTTTGAATATTGAATACAAAAATTAAAGTGAATTTCCACTTTTGCAGCCAAATTGGGATAACACCTACTTTATATTTCTTACATGTTCTCATTCACATAGCAAAAAATTAAAAATTGCTGCTTACCTATTACTTGCTTAAAAAATCTACACAGCTTTCCTCTTCTATATAATGTAGGGATGCACCGATACCGATACTAGTATCGGTATCGATGCTGAGTATTTGGGCAAGTACTAGTACCTAGCCCGATACTTTCTGTATCAGGAAGCCGGGCAGCACGTCATTACACGCTGCCCGGCTTCCCGATTGGCCGGGAAGCCGGCTCCATGCCCCCTCGTCACTTGTGACGAGGGGGCATGGAGCCGGCTTATCAGGAAGCCGGGCAGCATGTAATGACTCGCTGCCCGGCTTCCGGCTTTCTGATTGGCCGGTAAGCTGGCTTCATGCTCCCTCATCACCAAATGACGAGGGAGCATAGAGCCGGCTGCCGCGTCATTACACAGCGCCCGGCTTCCTGATTGGCCAGAAAGCCAGCTCGATGCTTACTCGTCACATAGTGACGAGAAGGATGGGGACGGCTTCCCTGCTAAGCGGGAAGCTGGGTGGCGAGTCTTTAAAACGCCGCCTGGCTTCCCGGCTAATCAGGAAGCCAGGTGGCGAGCCATTAAACGCTGCCTGGCTTACTTAATGGGACTTCCAGTGTCAGTGAGCACCAGAAAAAAAAAATATCGGTACTCGATACCAAAATACCAGTAAGCGGTGCATCGCTAATATAATGTTATAGAGGGAGCAGGGGAGGTAATGTTTTCCATGATTAACCCTGTCTGTACTGTGCTGGCAAATCTCATTATCAGTTGTAAACTAGATTTGAACACTGTAGTAACAAAGGGTTAAAGGGTTAAAGGTCTTAGGGCTTGGGTGGTAAATTATATGTTAATCCATTAATCAACTTTCAGTTTGTCCCTCTAATTGCACTTTGAAATTGTTCAGTATAGCTTGCAGTGCTGTGCATAATCCTGCTCCAAAGAAACAACTAGAAAGACAAGAAATATTATGATTTTGCGATGTGAATAGGAATACATAACACAAATTTCTCAATTTGGGGGATTCTCAAATTTCACTGCAAAGGTGGAACTGCACTTTAACCACTTCAAGTCCACGGTGTTAAACCCCCTTCCCATCCAGGCCATTTTTCAGTGTTCAGCGTTGCAGTACTTTGATTGACGTTTATTCTGTTATGCAACGCTGTACTAAAATACATTTTATACCATTTTTTGCGGACAGATCGAGCTTTCAGAGGTTTTATTTTTTACTATATTAAGGGAAAATTACCGAATTAAAAAAACTGTTTCACCTATGTTAAATGATAAAACATTTATTATTACACAATTGTAAAAAGGGTAAAAAGACACCAAACATGTCAAGCCTTAAAATTGCGCGCACGAAACCTCAAAAAACTACAATACCCAAAATTGGCCATAGGCGAAGCTTTAACCAGTTGACATCCGCGGTGTTAAACCCCCTTCCCATCCAGGCCATTTTTCAGTATTCAGCGCTGCGGTACTTTGACTGACATTTATTCCGTCATGCAGCGCTGTACTGAAATGAATTTTATACCCTTTTTTGAGGACAGATAGAGCTTTCATTTGGTGGTATTTATTCACCACTGGGGGTTTTTTTTTTTTTACTATATTAAGGAAAAATCACCGAAATTAAAAAAAAAAAACAGTTTCCCCTATATTAAATGATAAAACATTTATTATTACCCAATTTTTTGGTAAAATATAAAAGACGGGGTCACGTCGGGTAAAAAGACACCAAACATGTCAAGCCTTAAAATTGCGTGCGCGCGCAAAACCTCAAAAAACGATAATACCCAAAATTGGCCCTAGGCGACGCTTTAAAAGCTGTTACCGCTCATCAGTTTAGTGTTATCAGTGATTGATGGCCCTAAAATGATTGCTCTCACTCCGACGTTCGCGACGATCTGTAACATGTGTAGCGCAATTGTCATTTTTCGCATGCTAGTGCCGTGAACGCGTATTTACGTTTATATGTGCGTAAATGTGGAGGACTTAAACATTTTGGTTTTTTTTTTTAACTTTTTTTATGTGACTTTTATTTATTTTTTTACTCTTTTTATGTTTTTTTACACTTATTGTTATTGCGATTACATAGGCGGATAACAATCCCCCTATTTAATAGCAAAGGCACACTGACAAGTCCTCTTTATGGAGACATTAGGGATCTCTAAGACCCCTAATGTCACCTGGGGACCCC